GCAATATTTGTAGCTCAGACCTGTTGCTTGCAATGTGGATTGTTCACAGTAGCACTCTTTGCTAGGTTTTCATTTTAAGGAGGAAAATATTAGATCCCAGCATGTAACTCAGCTTGGTTGTTTTCTTGTAGATAATTCATTACCATTGAATAATTATACACTGATGATATTACCTAGTTCAGTAATGAAACATCTGCAAGAAAACCACAAACCTCAGAAAGCACAAGGACCCCACAGATGCAAAGTCCTATTCATGTATTTGCACCTATACTGGACAAATGGGATGCATAGCGTTCACAAGGGATAGGAGTTTGATTTTGCTGTCACGGATTTTGATCCCTTTCAGCAGCTGAGCCATGACACTTACCCATCCAGCAGAATGAGATGGAACACAAGCATGTGTGTGTTCCATACAGCTAGGACTCCAGTGTAGGCCAAGTGGCATATCCAAATAAATATTTTACTTGACACCACTCATCTCCCTTAGCTGTAAGCTATATCAGGCAACTTCTGTGGAATTCCCATTTCTCATTCCATCCATATACAAATAAATATTTTACTTGACACCACTCATCTACCTTAGCTCTAAGCTATATCAGGCAACTTCTGTGGAATTCCCATTTCTCATTCCATCCAACCTGAAAAGATGAAGCTGGGATATTAAACAAGCTTAAGTCATGATTGAAAACCCTGATTTGCTCCAAAGCTTGTGAGTATCTTCTTCTGATCCAAGAATAGCCACCCCTTAATTGCTTCTTCAGCCAAGATTCAATTGTCTAGTAAGAATAGTTATTGTCAACTCTGTCAACTTTGGACACCTTCCCACTGTCATTCCAGACACAAGTTTGGGTTGTTTACTGGGTTGTTTAGGTTGACTTTCTTTTTTTCCTCTCCCTATTCCCCCACCCTTTATTATGACTCTCTCCCATTGCATCCTTGTCTCCAATTCCTGTTGAATCCCAAAGCATTTTCAAGACCTCCTCCCTGGCTCTATTTGCTCTGTAAGGGGCTAGTCTGGTTTCCTGCCTTGACTTTGTCTGAGTTCTCTTCCTTCCAAAATAAACATTTGGAATTGGGAAGCAGCTAAGAAGAATCAAAGGAGTATAAATATAAACAGTATTGTTTGCAAGCCTATTGTCTCTTTATAGAAATTTGAGATATGGATATGGGATATGGGATAGCGATTCGGGTAAGAATGATGAATAAACACTTATGCTGTCTTTGGAAGGAAAGGTTGTACCTGGTGACCTCATCTGAATGTTTCCATGTGCCAGGCCACCATTTGCCACCAAGGTTGGCAGATAAGAAGTAAATTTTGCCTCAGTTATCCTCCTATCAAGTCACAGCTCAAGGAGAAACAGTTTGGAACTTGGAAGTGATCAGTTTAGCACTATGGATGGTATCAGTAAGTGCTTAACAGGGTGCAGCCAATTGAAGGAATATGCACTACCTTCCTAACAATGAGCAACAGGGTAGCCTTCCTTCCCATCCAAGGATGGTTATTATGAGTTCGCAAACTAGCTGCAGTTCCATTCATTAACTTGAAGACACGCACATTTAAACTCCCAGGATTCCACAGCCATCATGCTACTGGTAGCTGGGGAATTCTGGAAATTGAAATCCACATGTCTTCCAAGATGCCAAAGTTGAGAAATACTGCATTGAAGATTAAATTGAACAAACCTGAACAGGGAGGATGAGATTGGTGGTTGTGGTGGCTGGTTGGAAAGCAGTATTGCAGACTAACTCACTGCCTACTGCCAGGAGTTCAATCCTGACCACTTCAAGCCTTTGGGTCAGCTTTCCATCCTTCCGAAGTTGATAAAATGAGGACCCAGATTGCTGGGGGACAATATGTTGACTCGGTAAACCACTTAGAGACCATTCCAACTTACAACAGCACTGGAAAAAAGTGACTTATGACCATTTTTCACACTTATGGCCATTGCAGCATACCCATGGTCACATGATCAAAATTCAGACACTTGGCCCCTGGCATGTATTTATGATGGTTGCAGTGTTCTAGGGTCATGTGATCACCTTTTGTGACCATCTGATGAGCAGTTAGTGGCGCAGTAATTAGAATGCAGTATTGTAGGCTAACTCTGCCCACAGCCTGGAGTTTGATCCTGTTGACTCAGTCTTCCATCCTTCTGAGGTCGGTAAAATGAGGACCCAGATTGTTGGGGGGCAATATGCCGACTCTGTAAACCGCTTAGAGAGGGCTGTAAAGCACTATGAAGCAGTATATATATATAGATCTAGTTGCTATTGCTATTGGTTTGGCAGTATAGAAATACTTGGCTTGGCTCAGGTTTTAAAACCCCGTCCATAACCAAAGAAAAAACAATTAAGCATAATGAATATTGTGTGGTCACTTAACATGTGCTTGTGATGGAATAAGGGAGAGGAAAGGGAGGTTGGGAGAGAATATCTTGGCTGGTCTTTTGCATTTGCAAATGGATAGCCTTTAAAAGAAATTAAAATTAGCGGAGCTTATTTTATCTTATCTTCATCGGCTGCCAGGTACTTAAAATGCAGGCATTTTTTTTACATGCCTATCTCTGAATTCATTTTATTTTAAAAGCTTCCTACTGCACTCAGAACCTGATGTACAAATGAATTCTCTTTTTTAAAAGCAAGCCCTCCCACTGGGGAAAACGGTGTTGAAAATTCTGGACTTGCTCCCTGGAAAGATGTTTCTCTATTATCACCCTGCTACTCTTCTGTTCCTCTTGGCTACTGTAAAAATATTTATTTTGAAAAACACACCTCTCTCCCCAGTTGCAGAAAACTTGCCATTCTCTGTTTTAGAGCTAAAACCATCATATCTAGCAAGCAGAGAGAGTTCTTAGCTAGCTGGTGCCAATTTTGGTTATCTAAGTAAGTTATGATCTTGTTCAGTATCTGCTTATTTCTTGGGGGTTTGGGATAGGTGACTTCAGCATGGAGTTGATTCTCTAGGCCAGGGGTCTTCAAACTTGGCAACTTTAAGACTTGTGGACTTCAACTCCCAGCCAGCCAGGGAGTTGAAGTCCACAAGTCTTAAAGCTGCCAGGTTTGAAGACCCCTGCTCTAGGCCAGTGTTTCTTAATCTTGGAGACTTTTTGTGAACTTTAACTCCCAGAATTCTGGCTGGCGAATTCTGGGACTTAAATCCACATGTCTTAAAATTGCCAAGATTGAGAAATACTGCGCTAAAACTTTCCCTTATGCACTACCTCACTGCATCACATATGGAAGAGCAGATTATGATCTTTTTTTCTGAGGAATCGATGGGTGAATTGTATCCCTTTGAAATTGGTTAATATTTGTGAGGAACGGCCATTAGAATACAATGCATTGAACAGCTGTAGACAGCTGTAAGGCTGCCTTCTTGAACCTGGACTTCTTCCAGAAACATGGATTTCAACTCCCAGAATTCAACAATGGCCAGCTACTGTACATAGAGAATTCTTGGACTTGAGGCTTAGTACATCTGGAGGGTGATCAAGTTGGCAACAGCTAGAGTAGGAGGCAACTATCTTTGGACTAGTGTAGAGCTAAAGGTAGTCCTTCACTTAAACAGGTCATTTAATGACCGTTCAAGGTTATAGTTGTTATGTGCTCCTGGCTACTTTCCTTCGTGACCAGAGGCAAGCTCGCTGACCAATAACCAGCCAAGACACAGTGAAGGCCTTTTGTTTCGTTTATTGCAATAAGCGGGGAGAGAAGCTATCAAAGCTTGGTTCTCTCCAAAGTTTTAACCCAAAGTATCTCCTTCTTTTATTCATCCCTATCACCGGCCGCTACAGCCCTCCTCTTTCCCCATTGGCTGAGGTAGTATGAGGTTACACTCTTTCCGTCTGCCTATACACATTTCCTGATAACATACTAAATCATATTCACATATACAATAAGAATAAGAAAAAATAGACATTTAAATGGTTATTTTAAACTCAGTATATTTATGTTCTCATTTTAAACAATAAGTTCTTTTCCTGCTTTTCAATTCAATGTGCCTCTCTTCTTATCTTATTCAGCTTATTTTCCTTATTCTCCACCTTCCTGGCTAGCCATTTCCTTTATATTTTTATAGCTTCTCTTCTTCCTTTCTCAGACCCAACTATTTTTGCCTTATCTTACTTCCTTAATCTCTTCCTGACTCTCACCATCTGTATTTTTCTTATTCAATTAGCTTCCATTGTCTCTGAAGATTTATCATATTGATGTATATTTATCAATCCCCCCTGTATTTCTGTATACTCTGATGAATCTTCATTTTTGGCTATATTAGATAACATAAGTTGAATCTGTACATCTTCTCCAGAGATGTTTTTCGCTATGACCCCAATGTTTTGGTGCAAAATGAAATACAGCAGGGTAAACATTGGAGACAGACACAACACATAATACCTATCACAACTATAAACACTAGTCCTATAAATATTTGTTTTAACCATTCAAAATTGGGAAGCCAATTTGTTAACCAACTCCAATCACCCCACATATTTTCATACTTTTGTTCAGGAGCTTTGGCCACATTCCTGATTCCTTTTGCAATGTCCATCACTGCTTCATGATTGTCAGCTACCTTTAAATCCCACAAACAAATTTTTACCTTTATTTCCCAGGCTGTTCTGGTGTGTTGTCTTCAGTAATATTAGAAGTAGAATCCACCCTTCATGATTATTACACAGTATTTTCCACCCACAAATTGATCCACAATTAAAACAATAACAGCTACAGCAATCACAGTGACAATAACAAAAGATATACATTTACCACCTAATTCTTACAATGTACAATTCTACGTTTTCAGTTTCTAATGGTATGACTTCTGACTTAATTATTCATTTTATTTGTAACAAACAACTTTTACTTCTCTGATGAGTCACCACCAACATCTTTGTTCTTCGTCTGGGGTCACCTGAAATTCTAATAGAGATATTCAAAATAGGTAGGGGTTCTGGTCCACTACACATTCAAGTCCTTTTAAACGTGGCTTTCAGTCCTTGTCCTGGAATAACCGTCCACCCTCTTTCAGGTCCAGTCACCACCTTTGCTCATGTGTAGTGAGTCCAACCCTTCTCAGCCCTCCGGACAGCAGATTTCATATAAGGAACTTCCTTTCTTTGGTTGTAGAAGTTCCTCCTTCCATTTACGATTCAGCACCCACTGCCCCAGTTGGATCTTATGGACTGGAAATTCCAAAAGGAGTTGTTTGCACCACCAAGCCTTCCTGTCAAAGAGAAGACAGAGACCCCAGTACTTGTTCTACATTTAGCTATTTGTCTCCCTCCTTTGGGAGCCTTAACCCTTTATTAACCCTTTTACATATCAAACATCCCTCTGTAGCCCTTTGGGCTATCCCATAAATTCCAAGGGTAGCATAGAATTTCAAATACATTTCTACCTATGCTTTAATTCCCCAATATTTCCCCTCATATAGTTTTTGGATCACCATTCTTGCAGTACCTTGTGATAACCACAGAAACCCCTTAAGACCATTTTTGTTGTTTGGTAATTATAAATCTACTATATCCTCAATCCTTTTACTATCTATTTTCCTTTCCCCTTCAACTATAATATATTCTAGATATTTTACCTCCTTTCATACCAATTGGGCTTTATTTGCTAGACACCCTCAATCCTTTCTTCTGCCAAAAAGTTGCTTTCCCATTTCTTTATAATTCCCAGAATAAGATCTTACAAAATTGGGAAGCTACATAAAAATGTATTTGCTTCCACATCTTAAAAGGGGAGGAAAGAAAAGAAAGAAAAAAAATCATTTGTCCTGTATCAGATAGACTACACTTGTCCATGGAAGCTCTATCAAAAATTGTCACATTTTTCTTTCTCCTCCCCCTTTCACCCTGATTAGATACCATGTTACAAAAATATAACTCAATAAACTTATTGTAAATAACACATTCAGGATTTTAAAAGGTAAAGCACATAGGCTCACCAATTAGCATTGGGCCAACATTTCTGGAATGCCTTTTGTCTCAGGCAAATAACATTCAAATCACTCTTGTGGCAGCACATCAAAGAAACCAGGATAGCTAAGAAGACAAAAGATTGTCTCTCCCTTCCCCCTCTCACCAAACCAGACAGAGTAAAAATTTATACAAAACTTTTGCTTGAAACAGCCTTCAGGAGGAAAATTGCCATAACATTTACAAAAGTGGCTTGCCAATACCTCCTTCCTAGGGCTAAAAATAAACCAGCCCCAAAACACTCAGCCAACCCTCATGGCTAAAACAGGATTTGAACTCAAATCCAGCCTTGCAGCCTGTGGCTATAACCCTGAAACCAAATTGGTTTTCTATAAAGATTTCCCTCCCCCTCCTTGGCTCCAAGGAAAAGGAAAACAAATTGGACATACACAGTATGCAGCAATTAATCATCTTTTCTGCAGTAGCAAGGAGTCCCAAAGACACATATTTATCAGATGTTAAATAAAACATCATAAGATTGTTCCTTTGACAAGAATACCCTCAAATGCATTATTAAGGATAAATCCAAACTAAAATGCAAAGGAAAATCACTGAAGCATGCCACACATACAAAAACAGAATATCAGAGTTGGATGGGACATTAGAGGTCCTCTAGTCCAACCCCTTACTGAAACAGGAAACTCTATCCATTTCAGACCCTATCAATTTCTAACCTCCTCCCAAAAACCTCCAATAATTAAGCATCCACAGTTTCTGGAGACAATTATCCCACTGATTAATTATCCTTACAGTCAGGAAATTTTACCCAATTTCTGTTCTTAAAAAAAACAAACACACACATACACACAAACAAACATGCAGACAGAAACTGCCTCCCCCCCTTTTTCTTTTTTTTTTCTGCATCTTTTACTTTTCCAAGGCAGAAATTCTTGGGTTAAAAAAGTAACAAACTAAACATGTTTAAAAGAATTGCTCAAAAATTTCACCCCCCTTCAATAGCCCTTCCACCATGGGTTTTAAACCCATTCTTCCTTCCAATGTAATGTTATACTGTATCTGGTGAATTACTTCACCAGGGTTCTTTAAAGTCACCTTTAAAGGATCCATGAGTACCCCTCTTCTATTGCCCTCTTGGGCCCATATAAGAGGGTCCACTTTTCCTTGAGCTTCCTCACTGAAGGTCATAATATTTACAATTATTTCTCTTTCATTCCCCATAATAACAACCCCCAATTTACCAATTAAGTACCTCCTGGCCAAATTACAGCTCCATTTAACCAATACAAAGTTCAGGTCCTTTTACTACTGTCTGGACCATAGCAGATTTAAATATTGTTGCTTCTACTACATGTCCCCAATTCCCTGATCCTTAATCTTCCCTTTCCCAATTTGCATTCCTGGAGGTAAAAGTAAATCTGGTGGTCCAGAATCCACCAAGTACACCCTTTCCTCCTCCAGGGATCCAACCTTTAAGGTTTATCAGGGTTTCCTAAAAAGCTGAACCAGAAAACAGATTTGTCCCCTGACACCCCTAATCCTCAAAATTCACCAAATGTGCTAGTTCTTCCCCCTCCTTCCTCTTAAGGTACCGTACTCATTTTCCCAGTGTCCTTCCTCCTTACAAAAGGCACATTTATTTATTTATTTATTTAAGGACTGGTGCCAACTGGCTGTCCTCACCCCCAGCCTGCCTTACTGATTTCCCCATCCTCTTTGCTGGCCTGTTTGCAATAATTGAGCCATGAATTTTATCTTATCTTATGTTTATCTCTCTCCTCTTCTCACTTCGCATATACTTTCTGAGCCTCTTTTACCACTAATAAACCTTCTATTGTTTTAGTTTTCCATCTGTCTAATTTCTGCATTTGTACCCTAATACCTTCCCATGCTTTCCATTGGTCCTAAAAAAATTTCTAACCTATTTTCCTACTTCAATAGGATCTTCTATTAGTTTGGGCAATTCTTTCCTAGATTGCCTGATTTCAAAAGCTGTTAGGGGGGACAATTCCCCCCCCCCTTTGGATAGAGGTTTTCTCCTCTCTTGTTACCTTCCAAACTATAGGAACCTCACGAAATACATAGTTTTCTACTTAACTCTTTCACACAAAATAGCAGATCAGAGTTCTCGCCTTTCATCCTGGCCAGGCATAAAACTTCACACAGCTCCTTTCTTTCTCTCTCTCTCTTTCCCTCTCTTCCATCTGATTATTTCCATTCTTTTAACACCTTCCATTGTCCTTCTAATTACTAAGAAACTACCCTTCTTCACCCTTTCTTGCTTTTACACCAGACACAAAAAATTCCAAATGCTTCATCCCAGGCAAAACAATCATTCTTATTTTCAAGGAACTTTTTCAAAGCCAATGAGTTCCATCTCCCAAATTTTCCTTTTGGAATAAGACCTTGTTGTTTTGTATATTACTGTTAGAGGGTCTCTCCCTCCCCTCCCCCAGGTCTTTAGAAATGAGTCAATACAATCCCCAAACACACAGACCATTAAACATCATTTCCAGATCTTTAAATCTCCACTTTTACTCTTTTAGGGCACTTGTAGCTTGTTCTCCAGGCAGTGGGGAAATGCAAGGAGCGTTTCTGATGGACCTTATCCACTGCCTATCCATTCCCCACCCCTCTAAGCTAAGCTGAGAAGCCCAATTTAATTTGTTGGCTGGCCAAACATGTACTTAGGCCAAATATATACTGTAATGTATCATCCCTTCCTTTGTTCAAATGCCTTGTTTAAAGCATTGACTTAAAACACTTCAACATTCTCCCTAAGGGATTCCCATCTCTCTAAGGGGGTTCATTCCAGAATGTAAATACCTTTCCTCTTTTTCCTTATTGGCCGGTACACTGGCCGGGGAGGCGTCCCTCCTCTTCAAACTCTTATTGCCCATTAACACCTCTCTGATATACAGATACCCCTCTGGTATCTTACCTGTCAGGCTGAGTTGAAGTCCTTCCTTAGGTCGGCCGACTTTCCCTTAGGTTTTCACTGGGTCCTGGCTTTCCATCTCGGGATCTCCAATTCCTCCTTGTTTGAGCAGGGGCAATCCGAACTTTAGGGCTGGGAAAAACTTACCCAGGTGCGCACTCCCCTTTCGAATATTCCCGGCTGCCAAAGATGGAACGGATGCAAATCCCGGAGGAGCCCCCAAGGCTGTTATGTGCTCCTGGCTACTTTCCTTCGTGACCAGAGGCAAGCTCGCTGACCAATAACCAGCCAAGACACAGTGAAGGCCTTTTATTTCATTTATTGCAATAAGCGGGGAGAGAAGCTATCAAAGCTTGGTTCTCTCCAAAGTTTTAACCCAAAATACCTCCTTCTTTTATTCATCCCTATCACTGGCCGCTACAGCCCTCCTCTTTCCCCATTGGCTGAGGTAGTATGAGGTTACACTCTTTCCGTCCACCTATACACATTTTCTGATAACAATACAATAAGAATAAGAAAAAATAGACATTTAAATGGTTATTTTAAACTCGATATATTTATGTCCTCATTTTAAACAATAAGTTCTTTTCCTGCTTTTCAATTCAATGTGCCTCTCTTCTTATCTTATTCAGCTTATTTTCCTTATTCTCCATTCAACCTTCCTGGCTAGCCATTTCCTTTATATTTTTATAGCTTCTCTTCTTCCTTTCTCAGACCCAACTATTTTTGCCTTATCTTACTTCCTTAATCTCTTCCTGACTCTCACCATCTGTATTTTTCTTATTCAATTAGCTTCCATTGTCTCTGAAGATTTATCATATTGATGTATATTTATCATAGTGGCACTGAAAAAAGAGATTTATGAGTAGAGGAGTGTGGGAGAAGATCAAGAAAAGAGGGGGAGTAAAAGAGACAGGGTGGTGGCAGGTAGTAATAATAATAATAATAATAATAATAATAATAATAATAATAACAACAATAATAATAATAAAGTTGGAAGGGACCTTGGAAGTAATCTAGTCCAACCTCCTGCTCAGGTAGGAAATCCTATAACATTTCAGACAAATGGCTGTCCAGTCTCTTCTTAAAAACTTCCAGTGTTGGAGCATTCACAGCTTCTGGAGGCAGGTTGTTCCACTGATTAATTGTTCTCTTAGGGTAGAAATTTCTCCTTAGTTCTAGGTTGCTTCTCTCTTTGGTTAGTTTCCTTCTGTTGCTTCTTGTCCTGCCTTCAGGTGCTTTGGAGAATAGCTTGATTCCCTCTTCTATTTGGCAGCTCCTGAGATACTGGAACACTGCTATCATGTCCTCCTCATCCTTCTCTTCATTAAACTAAGCATACCAAATTCCAGCAACTGTTCTTCATATGTTTTAGCCTTCAGTCTCCTGATCATCTTTGTTGCTCTTCTCTGTACTCTTTCTAGAAACTCAACATCTTTTTTACATCGTGGTGACCAAAATTGGATGCAGTATTCCAAGTATGGCCTCACCAAGGCATTGTAAAGTGGTATTAACATGATCTTCACATGATTCTATCCCTCTGTTAATGCAGCCTAGCACTGTGTTGTTTTTTTTGGCAGCTGCAGCACACTGCTGGCTCCTATTTAAGTGATTGTCCACTAGGATTCTGAGATCTATCTCACAGTTATTACTATTGAGCAAGGTACCACCTATACTATACCCGTGCATTTGGTTTTTCTTGCCTAAATGTAGAACCTTACCTTTTTCCCCATTGAATTTCATTTTGTTAGATAGCCCCCAATGTTCAAGTCTGTTAAGATCCTTGACACAGCTGACTTGGCAAAGCAGCCAGGTGAGATGGAAGGAGAGAGGTTAGGAAATAAGAGAATGAGTCAAAAGAGATAGAAGTCAGAATATTTTTACAAGAGAGAAAAGTCTGTCTCTTAGGGTAGAAGTAGAAATCCTGCTGTTCCTGAACATATATAGACGCCACCTCAGCGAAAGCTACAGTATCTACGAATGAAGCCACTTTTCAAGGTTCAGTTTGTCAGTTCAGATACAGCTATAGCACATCACCATTTCCCCATAGTATCCTGTGGCAAAGAAGCTTTAAATTATGACTTCAAATCTGAATATAGCAATTTCTCGTAAGCCATAGCTTCTCAATGGACTTCAGTGTGAGACAGTTCTCGGGATTATAGATTGGATCTTTGGGAATTAACCCTGACCTCGATTGTTCCCGATTTTTCTTGCCTCTTTTCATGTGCTTTTCCTGTTGTAATCAAACTCTGGTCTATGCTTCTCTGCAAATCGGCATACGACGATTTGTGACAGGTGAGAATGGTGGCCAGGGGCTTTAATTTTTGAAGCTGGGGTTTATATTGTTGGAGTTGAAGTTGAAAGAGTATACTTTGGCTTTTATACTCTACAAAAATAGGTAGGGTCCAGGTCAAACACTAAGTTGGATTTAGGTTTAACAACATTAAAATTAAACATATGTGTTTGTCAGATTTGCACCGTTCCTTTCATTCAAGAATGCAAGGTGACATCCAAAAACTTTCTTTTTCAGTTTTTTTCCTTCACAATATCAAACATATGTGGTAGGTTGGCTAGAACAGCATAATGGCCCTCTTTGGCTGAGGGGGGGGAACCAGAACTTGAGCCTCACTTCTAATCCAGCACCTTAACCATTACACTCCACTGGCTAAATATAGTTAAAAATCTAGTAACAAAAACAACTATCTGTACAAGCAATTAAATAAAATTAAAGAATTAACTAAATTAAATAAATACAATTTACTCTAGTCTAGCAGAGGAGCTACCAAAATTGCGACTGCTCTGAGCAAATACTAAGTTAAAACTGGGGAAGGACCGCCCCAAGGAGGCGTGGTTGAACTTTGAACTTAGTCTCTCTGAGCAGGAAGGCTGAAATAACCCACCGGTGGATGCTACATCTGCATGCTGGAGAACAAATGTTAAGACATATGACTAAAGAATCTTAGGCCTGTGTTTTCTACTATAGCCTACTGTGCTAGGCTCCTAAGGGGGAAAATTATACTGTATCTTCTTGGCTTTCCTTATTACTTACTTTATTATCATTACTAAAGGAGAAGTGGAATCTGAACATATACACATAACACAATCTGTTATAATTAAGGGACTATTTGCATTACCTGTTCCTATAGCTCGCAGGTGCTGTTGTCAGCAGGGCCTAACCAGGCAGTTTTAGTGGACTGTCTGGCTGTTTGCCATTGCTGTTGTTCAGAGCATGGGAATTTCCCTCTCTGACAACCATTCCTGGATATCTCCTACTCGGAATATCTAGAGAGCAATGGCAGACAGTGAAACTCCTCAGACATCACAGGGTTCTGGAGTCCCCCGCACACAACCAAAGCGCAGATCTTCTGAATTGAGCGTGGGGGGGGGGGGAAGAAGAAGGCTAAAACTAAGCATTTAACCACCAAGGAACCCTCCAAAACTGCTGAGAGAGAGGCCTCGAGGAGACATCAGGCACTAGAAAAGGAATTTTCCAGGATGCAAAGGCTCAGGTCCACTGAGGCTGAAGTGGTTCCCCCTGTTTCACTGGACCGGTCCCCATTTGAGCCTCCAGGTGTGCCTTCTTATGATGCCCCCAGGGCTTGGTCTCCTCAAGGGGAAACTGAACAGGTTAGTCCCTATTCCTCTCCTCATTCCTCTCATCTTCCTCCTCCTCCAACTCCTCCTCCTCCTCCTCCTCCTCCTGTTTCTTCTATCACGCAACAAGTTCCAGAGGTCACACATTCTCCCACAGTGGTTGGTCCTCATTCCACAGATCAGGCCATGTGGGCAGAACAATTCCAGAGCTACATGCATCAGGCATTCAACCAATTTATGGCTTCTTCAATGAGTCAAGGGTTTCCCCAGGCACCACCGCCTCCGTCCGTACCTGTATCACAGACGGGGCGTGTTCAGATATCAGGTTCTGGCGCATCTGAAGCGTCATGTCAATTAGGAGAAGGTGAATCGGTGGACCTGGAATCGGTGGATATTCCCATGTCAGAGGATGACAAAGCTGCTTACACATAGAATAGGATTAAAAAACAAAAGAACAAATTATCAGCTAATTTGCGATATTCGGTGGGGCTTCGTAACTTCAGTTGTCTCAAGTGTTTTTCTGAAAAGCCAAGTTCTTAAGGTTTCTAAAATATACAGAGGAAGGGGGTTGTCACACTATTTAGAGGCTGTTGCAAAGGAGGGGGACATGACTGAGAAATCCTCACTATGAGGCCCCTGAGAATGGCATTCCTGTGGTGGTAGACCTTCAGCTTACCTTCTCTCCCAGATCTTTCTTAGTGGCAGATTAAATCTCCAGGTGGTCTTGGAGATATTCAGCCCCTGAGCAGTAGGGTTTTAAAGGTGACAACTAACACCTTGAATTGTGTCTGGAAGGTAACGAAGAACTAGTACATCTCCTAGTGATGGTACATGAGCAATCTTGGTGTTTTCATTATTCCCTGAACTGCTGAATCTGACCCAACTGGACTTTCCAGTTGGTCTTCAAGGGAAGTCCCATGCATAGAGAATTGCAATAGTCTTCTCTAAATTCCTCCTACCTGTCCTAGGCTTGGCAGAAATTATTTTGACCAACACTCCTACTCTCATTGCCTTCTTGATATCACGCTGTGCTATTGCCCCTGCCTCTTTAATTGGTTGTTTTTGTTGTTGGTGTAGAACTGAAAGGAGTGCCTGCTTTCCATTTATCCAAAGATAATTGTTTTGGGTTCAGAGTAGTAATTCAGTTGTTTGCTAAGCAGCAATTAGGAGGCTGGGAGAAGGCTGCATGGAGGCTGGTGATGCAGTTATTATCAGTATTGCTGGCTGGCTAGCATCTCCTCTTAGATTGGCAAGAGGCCAATGCTCCCTTCCACGCCAGTGGAAATTTACCAGTATTTGTTGGCAGCAGTGTTGCTGTGTCTGGCTAACTAGCAAATCTGGACAGAAGAAGTCGGATAAGAGCCATGTGCACGTGAAAGGAATCTGGAGAGATGCAGGATAGTCCTCAATTTACAACCATTTGTTTAGTAACCGTCTGAAATAACAGTGGCACTGAAAAAATGACTTGCAACTGATACACTTAACAACCACCACAGCGTTCCAAGGGTCACGTGATCATAATTCAGGTGATTAGCAATTGGCATGTATTTCACAATAGTTACAGTATTCCAGGGACACATGATTGTCCTCTGCAACCTTCCAACCAGCTTCCCACAAGCAGAGTCAATCGGGAAAGCTGAATTTGCTTGATTTACTTAACTGCAGTGATTTGCTTAACAATCTTAGTGTAAAAAAAAAAAGGGTGTAAAGTAGGGCACAAATCACTTAATAGTTATTTTGCTTAACAACAAAAATTCTGGTCCCAGTTGTGGTCATAAGTTGACATCCACCTGTAATGACTTCCTTCCTTCCTTCCTTTTCCTTCCTTCCTTCCTTCCTTCCCTCCCTCCGTTCCTCCCTCCATCCCTCCGTTCCTCCCTCCATCCCTCCCTTTTTATCTTGTCCTTTCCATCCAACTCCTCCATTTTTTCCCCATTGTAAAAGGGTTTTCTGGCATTTACAGATGTGGAATTGTGTTGGAAATTTGCATACCGTGCTGCTGAACCCAGGGAGAATAATGTTTGCTTGGGTCATAAGTAAAACATTCAGTGTTCAAAATGGTATGGAGTGGTGGTGGAATTAATCAAGCTTGATATCCTCAAGGATGCATCTTGAAGAAACTCAATCTTGGGAAGAGAGGAGGGAGGTGGTTCTTCTCAAGTACCTGAAATGATGTCACACTGAGGGTCAAGATCTGAAGTAAGTCACTTCAGAGTGAGCACATAAAATAATGGATTTAAGTTACAGGAAGGCGAATTCCTGATGAATGCTAAAAGAGAAAAATGTTCCTAGCTGTTCAATATAGAATAAGTTGTATCCTACCCATCACAGTTACACAATTCTGGAAATGAATACTACTGCTTTAATAAGTCACATTATTATTGCACTTATAGTCTTGCATGTTTCAAAGAAGGTCTTCTGAATCAAATCCCAAGTATTGCATAACTCTAGTCCAGTGGTGGCGAACCTATGGCATGCATGCCAGAGGCAGCACTCGGAGCCCTCTCTGTGGGCACACGTGCCGTTGCCCCAGCCTTGCCTTCTCCCCCTCCTCACCAGCAGCCCCCTGGAGTAGAATCCCCCACCGAGCAGAGCAGCGCAGCCAAGGACGTGGCAGCTAGGTAACGTAGACAAGAGTCTGCCCTCACACCCCATTACGCACAGTTGATGCTGCGGGGCGTGGACAGAGGGCATGGCCACAATGGTGCTGCTGGGCTGCCTGGGCAATCTGTGGTGGGCCCTGGAGGTGGTGAGTGGCCCTGCAGGCAGGCAGGGTGGAGGTGGGGCAGGGGGGGAGCGGGGGAGGGGCCAGTTTTTGGGCACTTGGTCTCTAAAATGTTCGCCATCACTGCCCTAGTCCCTAGTAATAGGGAGTAGAATCTTGTGGTCTCTGGCAATAGGGCTTGGTGCCTATCAAAAGGAGAGAATTCTTGTGGAAAACGGAAGGACTCTTAACGAATTCCAGAGGTTTTAGCAGAGAGATTTATTGCACAGGTTCAGAAGCTATAGCGACAAGCAATTCTGAACCTCAAGGGCGGGTTCAGACTTCAGTTTTATACTTTCCCTTTCTCAGGAACAAAGGAATACACATTGTAATACACATTGTAATACATTAGGTTCGTTTCTCATGGGTATACAATGGGGAGAGTTTGCTACATACATTGTATCCAAGTGTAACGCGCATTAGGTTAGTCACATACTACTAACACAGCATTATTCCAGTAATTATGCAGACACATAATTATTCTAGTGATTGTTCTTATTCCACATTATTCCCCCCTTTGGAAGTTTTCCTACTTAAACTTCCATCATTCTATCTCCAATTCAGGATCTTTAGGGGGCAATATTTTATATTCCCATAAAGCTAACATTGTTTCATGTCTTGCAGTTAATTGGGCTGTACTTTCTGAGATCCTCGAATCATTGCTACAATACAGGGAAGTAAGCAGGGAATCAAAATACATCCTAGAATTAACAAGATTGCTATAACTATGATGGTTTGTAGGCCTGGTAACTTTGGCCGCCATCCTGAAAATATGTCTTCCAAATTAAATCCTTTCCAGGTTTGCACCGGAACGTGAGTTAGTTTGACCATTTTGTCTGTTATGTCCTTCAACACTTTTCCTCTTTCATCTGTTTCGATGCAACAGTTTGTTATGTTGAATTTTCCACATACCCTTTCTTCTTTGGCCAACAGATAGTCCAAGGCTAACCTATTTTGCATAATATATGTCCTGGATTTCACATTTTCTTTGGCCAATTCAGTTAGTCCCTTCACTGTCTCATTAGTGATTAACTCTACCACCGCTTGTAACCTAATGAGCTTGTTGAGCATATAAATAGGGGTACAGTATCCATACATTCCATCCTCAGCCCAAGTAGCCGGACCATAAACTAGGATAATGTGGCAAGGTGGCCATTCATGTTCTTGCCAAGTGACTCCTGCGCATTGGGTGTGTGCACTTAGTTCCCTTCTTTGTCTTATATTGCCAACTTCATCATAGATGGGAACTCCAAGAATTTGCTTAGTTTTTAATGGTAACAGGAAAAATCCTGGTCAAATTATTCTCAATACACAAGATCCACACAAGTTCTTAGGTAGTTGTCCGTATGCCATTTTTCTGCAAATCCAGTACATTCCATCTGGGGCGAGCCAAGGGAGACTGGTATTTGTGGGGTCTTTTAGATATGGCACCCCAGATACGTTAGTAAGGGCATAATGATCCATAGTAGTGGTTTTGTTGGTTCCAGACCACCATTTACCGTTTTCCCAAGTCCCTGTGCATAGGAGGTTACGTACTGCTACACAAGATTCTGTTTTGTTTCTTGAGTAACATACATGTCCTACCAGGTTGGAAGTGAGAGTCCAATCACCATCTTTCCCGCTTGTATAGGTTAAACTATTATTCTCAGACATTTCTAGTACCTTGGTATAATTTAACTCTTGTTCCTCCCATGGCCATTTTTCTCCCATATTTGTTCCACCACAGACAAAACAGTTGGACATGTCTAAAGTATGGGCAATATCTTCAGCTAACTTAACAAAGGTATTGGCTACATGTCTAGGTATTTCAGGAATATTTAGTTTCTCCATTTTCTCATAATATGACCAAAATAATGACTTTTGTTCTGATCTTTTGGTTGCAGCTATAATTTTGATTTCTACCTCTGATATTGGGTCGTAGCCATTGGCATCTATTCCTATCCCAAACATCCAATTTTGTCTTTCCCATTTATTTTGTTCCAGGAACCAACTGCCATTCTTGACTGTGAGAGTCACCAAATTACAGTTATCCCTTCCACAGGAGTCTGCTTTTGTATTATTATTTTCAAACAAGATGTGTTCCATCTCCTTTGGGTCTTGGGTATGCCACTTAATACATGACCACCACTTACATCTGCCCGTGGAGACTGCACACCCATCCAGTGGGCACAAATACTTATGGTTTGGGATATAGCTGTGGCTTTGACTGATCCCTCCACAACCATCTATTGCAGCCCAATAATTAGCTGCCTTACAAACATCAAAGGTGACGCTAAAACTGGAGTGTGGGTTGGATTTCCATTGAGAGATCCCTAATAGTGCCTGGTCCCTAGAGCTCCTATCTGTTCTATGTGTTCGGATTTGTAAGGCCCAACTATCAGGATTAGACTTTGGGTTATAACACTGATCTTGGACCCCTTTTCTACAAACTTTATATGTAGTTCTATTGTATGTACAGGAGCTAGGGGAGCTATCTTGGCACCCTTCTGGTTTCATTGTATAATAAATCAAAGTCTTAGTTATCTGGCTTCCTTGTTTGTAATCTTGATGCAGTTTTGACAATCCCGGTTTCCCTGTGTTTTTGTTCTTTCTTTGTGTGTACTACTCAATAGTTTTCTATTAGAGGGTTTCTGTGATATGACCTCTCGTGTAGC